GTCAGATAAGTTCAGATGAGTTTAATATTCAGTAGGGGTTGTTTAGACCCCTAACCCTTACATTTGAGCAATAGTAAAACTTTAATTGCAAACAGTACTTTACAATAAAATTACCTACCCTCTGCTTTGGGCTTCACTTCCTTTACAGTTTTTTCTTCTTCCAATGAAGTGACCCAAAAAAAAGAGTATAGAGTTATTTGATGAATTATGAACTAATCAAATAAATGACAAGTAATATTTATCAATATCCATACATTCTTTAAGAAACAGTGTTTCATAAGACTGGATTTCATTTGATGTTTAGATGCAAATAAACAAAATGGCATATGGAGAAAACCATACAACAACAAATCATTTTCAATTCACACAAATCTAGAAGCTTTTGCAAGCAATCGATCCAAAAGTACAGTAAAGGAGCAATGTGCAATTCAACTAAAGGTATAACATGTATAGCAGAAACCACTACATTTACTCTCAGCAAAACTCTGACCAACACTTAAAAAAAAAACAGCATGGCGGAATATTTTATGACATTGCCAGGGGGTGTCTAACAGGTACTTGCCTATAGAAGCGAGACAAATATCATCCAGTGTGAAATATTTATAGCTGTTACTAATTTCTAAACACCCAGTTTAGGATACAATTGAACCTCTTTCTGTGAGTATTAAAGGAACTAATACAAGATAATAATACAAGGATTAAGACTTCTTCCTTCTTTCAGAACTTTAAGCTTTTGAGTATGAAAAGCTATATATTTAAGCTATACATATATGTGTACTGTATGTATAAGCTGTGCAGTGGGTTACCTTTATGTGAGGTTGTTGTTACTTTTGCCTTCTTTGTTACTGCTGGCTCTAGTGAGAAAAAGATGTTCAAGATTCATGGTGCGGTACTTGTCTTAAAGAATCAAAATAAAAGGAAATGAAAAACAAGTATCTCATCAGTTCTTGACAATTATATTTATTCTCTGATTATTTTTAATGAAGCATCTGTATCACTTTATTTCACAGGTAAACACAGGATAATTTATGATGGAATAAATAAATAAATGAATGGATAAATGCATGAAATATAATATTACATTATGTGTATATAATATATTATAAATAATATGCCACAATAAAATGTACCTTTCTTAGTAGAGGTAGGTTTTGCCTTTTCTTTAGTGATCACTCGCTCTGTAAAAGAGGAAATAATAAGCTACTGCTCATTAATATAGAACTACTGCAAAGTCAGTTCCTGAACCATAATTACCTGTCCTTTTAGACCTCTCTTTCACAGCGATCGGCCCTAAATCATACAAAAATGATTTATTTTGCAAGAAAATAAATCTAAAATTTTAATTTAGCCATAATTTTTCTATTATCCTTACCTTTCTTTGCCACTGCAGGTTTTACTTTGGCTTTAGTAACTGTGGGCTCTTGAACACACACAAAATGAAATATAAATGCACAAACTCAAATCCCCACATACAAAATATATAACAATGTTGTTATAATAATGACAAACACTTAGTAAAGCATCTTCTCCAACATGATTAGTGGTACTAAAAACTCACATACTGCCTTTTCATTTTAAATCGGATCTCACCCTTCTTCGCAGGAGCTGCTTTGGCTTTTTCTTTTGGCACAGCTGGTTCTGAAATTGGAGGTCAAAGGTTATTACTTGCTTCAGGTCTGTTAACATAACTAGAAAAATATAATACATTCTTACTGCTGGCACGAACTCAAGACTAATTACTACTATACCTTTCTTTTTAGTGGCTTGTTTTGCCTTCGCCTTAGCAGCATCTGGTTCTTAAGCAAAGGAAACATTACATCAGATTTCTTTAAAAAAAATAGTAAATTGTTATCATATAGAATTAAATCTCAAATATATTTTGCAGTAAACACCTTTCAGTAAAGTTGGAGCTTGATGAGTTGTTAAAATCGGAACTTCTGATTCTGAAAAACACAGTGGTGTTAAAAACTCTTGTGATGTATTAAAGGGGTCATATGATGCAATTTCATTTTTTCCACTTTAAACCGCATAAACACATTTCATTACACCAAATACACAAAATAATGTTCTTTTTAGCAGCATCATATGACCCCTTTAATTCTTAATATTTTTGGCATTGATAGCCACATGATTTAATTAGTAATAATAACAGATGTCAATCATCTGTATAAATGCATTAAAATAGGTTTGAATACCTGGAATAGCCGATGGTGGTAATGGGCTACTTGTAACTATATGATGCACTGTAAGATAAAAGATTAAGTACATTTCAGGGCATTAAAGAACATTTGAAGTATGTTTAAAGGCGTTTTATGTAAAGCCCATTGAGTTACTGTAATTGTAGGTGACTGCATTACTCACCATACCAGCCAGGTGGCGCTGGGCAGTACACAGGTGTTGGTCGGCACATAGGAACTGTTTCACCAGGTTGTGAAAAGAAAGATTCAGAGTTACAACAGACTGACTGTAGATTGCGTGCTATTGCTGCTGTCTTTTTGCATTATGTGAATGTAGCGCAATGTAATATTAAAAAGTCACAAGGCTATGAGTTGCACTCACGATCCTGTATCGGAGCTGGAGCAGCTGACACTTCCATGTCCTCTGAGGCTCGAGATCCTGTTATTAGGAGAAGGGAAAGCACCGCTGTCATATATTTAGATCAAATGGAATTTCAAATTTGCCATCAACAGTTGAGCCAAAAATGAAAAATCTGTCATCATTCACTCATTGATCAAATCCTGTATGATTTCTTTCTTCTGTAGAACACAAAAGAAGATGTTAAGCAGGATGTTCATGCTGTTCTTTTTCATATAGGCCTATAATGAAAACAAACTGTATCCAGGGCCTTTCAGGCTCCAGAAATGACATGAACGCATTATAACAGCATATGATTTGTGCCCAGTATCTGAAATCATATCGTCATAAGTTGTTTGGCACTCAAAATCTTCCTCTCCACGGTAGGTTGAATTTGTGTGATTTGAATATGTGCATATTTAATTTTGCAGATTTGGAATCTTGGATTTGGACTTGGATCTTTGGATTTGGGATATCGCTCACAACTTATATGGACCACTTTTTATGGAGCTTTTTTTGTGTGTCATTTTTAGAGCTTGATAGTCTCTCGTTGCCATTCATGTACATTATGTGGAAAAGAGTATGTGAACATTCAGCAAAGTATCTTCTTTGAAGAAAGAAAGTCACATGAGTTTTGTGACATGTAGCGACATGAGGGTAAATATGATGGCAGAACTTTTATTTATGAATGAACTATCCCTGAAGTAAAGTATGATCAGATCATTTGGATTTACTTCTCGTTTTGGGTATGTTGACAGCTGCTGCCTTTGCTTTTGGAGCTGTGAAGCAGAGAGCAAATTTGATTCTGCAATATTCATCGCTATGATTATAAAAATCATTTGAAACAAGTCTTTCAGGGTATGATGATATAAAAAGGCAGGAACACATTGTGCTTGTTATTTTTTACCTTTCTTTGCTTTCTCTAGTCTGGTTCTTATTGGAGCCTCTTTTTCTGATGAGCAAATGTTAGTGAGGAGGTGAAAAAACGGACTTCAGTACAATATTCTTCCACAAACAAATGCCTATCTATATTTAATATTCTGATCTGAGAAAAAAACAATAACTCTGCACCTTTTCTCTGTTTAAGCAGGGGTTCCCTTCTCTTAGCCTCTGCTTCTGGAGAATGAAAACATATTAAACAATATAAAATTAGCTTTCAGATCAAAACATGTATGATTAACTTCAGATTTGCTCAGCTGAAAATTAATTTTCAAACTTTACAGTGTTTGCTGGCATAATGAGAACATTGTGTCAAATGCACCATAAAGGACATTTAATTGGAAATGTATATTTTTCATTTTTATTAACTGTGGAAATAAACAAATTGAATATGAATTTAGGAATAAATTAATTTCCTAAAGTGAAAAATTGGCATGAAATGTCCCATAATGCTGTTGGCTCACAATGCTCTTATATATATATATATATATATATAAAACATTATTAATTAGAGTTATTTAACCATTTTTTAAAGCACATAAATACACTTTATCAATAGATTAGTTTACTGCTTGTAGTTTTGCACAGGCTTGTTGAGCTGTACTGCTAAAGCAAGCAGTTTGCTGTAGATATTGGCAGTTGCCTTGAGCTAAACCAGCTTTAATCAAACAAAACAATGCATCACATACTCTTGTGCTCAAGGGTGACTCTTTTAGCTGTGAAATGAAAAACACGAACAAAGACTTGAATCAGACAAAACTGCTTTGTTTAGAGAGAGTTGAAAACTGTCTGCAGCAACAGGTCACTTCATGATGACTAAATCACTGAAAGCCTACTGTACACTGATGAAAAAAGTATTTGCTAGATCTATACACAATTGATGTTGCAATATATTATACTGCTCTACAAATTAGCACATTAAAGCAGAAATACACCTAATGTCCTAAAGTATTCCTAAGAGTCAGGGTTTTGGTGTAAAAAAAAATAAAAAAAAATAAAAAAAGATATACAGATATGCACCAGGGGGCACTATTGTGTATGTCAAAGCTATTGGAAGTAAGAAAAAAAATGCAGCTGTTTTACTGATATAAGAGCCTCAGTGATATAAGAGCCACAGATTACTGCTTTATTATAGGTCATAGATGAGATCATATAATTTTCATTCATTTAAAATTAAGCTTCCAAAGCTATAGATAAACAAAAATAGACAAACTAACAGGCCATATTGTCTCTAAAATACAAGTTACTTGTTATTGACTTATGTTTATAGAACTGTTGAATCTGTGGTCTCATGCCTATGATTAAATAATGCCTAAATATGTAGGTCATTACTGAAAAAGCTATTTTACTTAAACTATTTAAATGTATTGTTTATACACTATATACACTATGTTTGCATGCCCAAGCATAATCCATGATACTCAAAGAAAACATACTTAAAGTTTTTTTTTTTTTAAAGTATCTATTATTAACTTCTTGTAATTGTAAATAAATAAATACAATAAAAATGAAAATAAATAATTATTAGCTTCAATAAAAGTCTTTTATTGAATAAACACACCTCTTTTCTTTACTTTATCAGGTTCAGCTGGAAGAAAAAAGGAGAAAAAGGACGACGAGTGACAATTAATGTAGCACTTTAATTCTTAATTCCACTAGATGGCGACTGTGAGTGAACATATTTGTCTGCATAATATTAGAAATCTCTATACAACAATACAAACCACCAAACATTGTTTTGCTGAGCTCATTAGTGGCCAAAGTTTTGTCTAGCAATTTCAGACATGGTTAGGGAGAGAAACAACAATTAATCTCGAAGCACAGCTTGTTTTTGATATTCTGTTCTGTAAGCACAACCAAGTTAAATTGTAAAATGAATAGTATTTAGTAGAAAGCAGAATGATATGAGATTGGAGTAAGGAGTGAGTGTCAGTAAGAGAGCAAATATTTATGAATTTCTGTATCTGCTGATACAGAAATTACCCATATGGTCCATAATTCATGCTGTATGCACAATTTATAATCCTTTGAGTTTGTGTGTGTTTGTGTGCGCGTGCATATGTTGTCTTCATACATTTATAGTACATCCACCTTTTCATTCACTTCTATACCACTTATGCAAATCTGTTTTTAGGTACACATCATTCACCAATCCATGATTATATTTTTAGCATGCACTTTATTGCATGTGCAAAATACCTCTCGGTCAGTTGTTTTTTTTTAATGAAAAGCTCATAATATTTGTTAGAATAGATACCACAAAGATACCGGCATGTCTCTCTAGATCTATGATTTATCCATGAGACATGGCCAGTGTGAATGGCTCTGTTATGCAGAAAACTGAAAATATGCCCAGGCACTTTTATTATATTTTAAAACAACATGCATGATATTGACCTTGCAAGTCAATACCAAATACCTTTTTCTTCCTTTGGTTTAGTGTCTTGGGCTTTTTGAGGCTCTTTATGTATTACTGAATGCATACAAGGACAGGTAGAGGGCTCTTTTTGTTTGTCTGGACACAAACAAATGCAAAATAGTGAGTGTCATTATAGACTACAGTGATTCGTTTAATTTCTTGCCTATTTTAGCCATCTCATATGAAACATCGGCTCTGACGTAGTGTGTTTTTTTGCTGGCACACTCAGACTTACTTGTCAACACCACAATCAAATCAATTGCAAAAAATCTATTATGATGTACATGAACAAAAAATGATGAAAGTGTTCAAAAAAGACACAGACTAATGAGAGGTGTATTAGATTAGCCTTGTTTAAATCAACACAGGATGATAAAGATCGCATTGGCAGCCAAACACGGAGATAAATGTCTTCTGCAGCTTAATATATTGATGTCATTATCATTAAAACCCATAATGTGCTTATGACATGAGAGGCCAATGCCAGATTTTATGTCCATTAATCAAAATGTTATTACCAAAATTAATTTTTAAAGTGGTGGTAGTAAATCACAGGATACAAATATGACACCTTCATTATAAGTTTGGATAGCATAAATTTGTCAGAATTAATGTGACAATTTTTGATTAAATGCCACCCCATCGGTAAAGAGATTGGATTATTGTAACAAGAAGGAAGCCAGCTAAAAATGAAAACAGGTTGACAACCTCGCCAACAAACGGAGATGAACAATAATGACATATCTGAGGATACTGGCTGAGAAGCAGGGAAATGTTTTTAGCAGCTGCAAGAATTCCAAGAAGTCTCTTTTGAATATTAATTATATTGAAATTCAAAAAGCCGGTTTTGATTGTGTTGCTTACATGCTCGCGAGGAATTACAGGGAGGTGTCATTCAAAATGCCTTTAACCTAAAATGCTAATGCCTTTTTTGATATCAGTCAACCCTGCAGCCGAGTACATGATCTGTGTTATTAAAACAGCATGCATTCTTTCTTCCTTCCTCTGTTTTCTCACTGACCTTTGGTGCAGAAGTTTATTAGCTAAAAAAACACATTTACTCTTTTCTGATTAAGATCAGCAGGGGCATTGAAAGCTGTAAGATAGGATAGTATCACTATGACTTTGATTTGCCATTGAAACTTCATATATTGAATTTGTGCAGATTTCTGTATGAAATGACATCAGGATAAATTCACTAAACAGTTGTGCTGCTTTTGCGCATTAAACCACCATCACAATCCAGTGTAACTAGACACTATCTGCGTTGGTATAGCGCTGCTCAATGTGTATTTAAAGTCACTGTCACTAATTTCTGAAGGAAATTAATAAAATGAAAATGAAAATAAAATAATAAAATAAAATAAAATTAAGCAACACTATACACACTATAATTGTGTACTGACACTCTTCTCTTTTTAAAAATACAATAAAAAATTAAATAAAAGAAAAACCTAAATATAAAATAAAATGGTTCTCTATTTAGAGACAATAGCAGCACTTACACTGTAATTGTGTATGGTTCTAAAATAAAGTAAAATAAAATAAAATAAATTTAATTTTCTCTACTTGGGGACAATAGTAGCACTTACACTGTAATTGTGTACTGACCTTTTAAATAAAATAAAATAAATTTAATTTTCTCTACTTGGGGACAATAGTAGCACTTACACTGTAATTGTGTACTGACCTTTTAAATAAAATAAAATAAAATCAAAATAATAAAATAAAATAAAATTCAATTCAATTTTCTCTACTTGGGGACAATAGTAGCACTTACACTGTAATTGTGTACTGGGCTTTTAAATAAAAAAAATAAAAAAATAAAATAACATTTTCTCTATTTGGGGACAAAAGTAGCACTTGCACTGTAACTGTGTACTGATCTTTTAAATCAAAATGAAAAATAAATAAATAAAATATAATAAGTTACTCTATTTAGAAACAATAGATGCACTGTAATTACGTACTGACCTTCTTTTTCAGCCTCTGCCACAGGTTTCTCTGCTTCTTTTTCTTTCACTTCCTCGGCTGCCGGTGTTTTAAGAAATAAAGCAAACAAAACAAAAGGTGAGTGTTTCAGGCCCATAAAGAAAATAGAAAGACAAAAGACACAGACATGTACTTGCTTACACACACACAGACACATCCACACAATGCCAACTTTGATGTTCAGATCTTTTTTGTACTTTGTTTGTGCTTTCTGTGCAGACTGTTCAACCCCATGGGTCAAAATGGATCTCTTCATGTCCCACATTTTTGCTCTCTCTCCCCTAACAACAGGCTTCTTTCTCTCAGCAGAGATTTATTCTATTGTGTGCAACATATCTAATGATGTTCTTGATAGAGGAATGACAGAGTATCTGCTGTTTGCCTGCAGGCAGGGCCGAGATTCTCATTTTTCTGGCCTGCTCTCTGCAGTAAATGGAATGGGGTGATGTTATTGCTGTAATTTTCTGCGGAGCACAACATTTTAAAGAACTAAAGTACAAAGTAGTAAAGTCAAAAACAAGTCAAATCTATTTGAGTTAACCTTGTCAATAAAACAGATCAGCAGGACAAAACCCTGTGATATTTTTGGACATGAAACAGGTGGAAAAAGACTCCAGAATATGGAGCCAAAGCAAGCACACACACTGCATTATGGACATTTTACAATCAGACTGTATTGCTGGCATTTATTTACTGAATAATACTGAATTATACACTTTTAATACACTTTAAT